ATCCCTCCTCCTGCAGGCGGGGGGCCATGAGGAGAGGTGGGCCTGCCTGTGCAGCCCCTCCTCCCTTTGGCCCTGCCCGGAGAGAGAGGGATAAAGGAGCACCAGAGCAGCCCTGCCTGATTCTCATTAGCGGCCACAGCTGGGATGGACCCTGCGGAGCCGGATGGCAGCAGCCGAGGTGGAGCGAGCAGGACGCGCTCCCAGCGACCACACAGGTAGGGGCCTGGGTTTTGGGAGAACACAGGGGAAGTGGGAGAAAATTCTTTGGGGTTCTGTCTGTCCACTGAAAGCTCAGTCTTTAAGAATTGGGGTGCATCAGGTGGGAAAAGGGGCTTCCTAGCCCCCAACCCAACGCTGGAAGTGTCTGGAGACTATCTCTCACCCCTCACAGTTCAGAGGAGGAAACTGAGGCCAGACAGGGGATAAGTCAGGGCTAGCTCAGGGTCTGACCATTTAGGGCAGAGATTCCCCATTTGCCTTTTTTCTCTTCCACTCAACAAATGTTTCTCTGCCCAGAAATACTATACAGCTCCCTGCAGTGGGATCTGGTCCTCTGGTTATCTTTGTAGCCCCAGTATGTAGCCTGGTGCCAGGTGTTCGTAAGTGTGTGAATGGAAACACTTCAGGTTGAACATTACACCATTAGAGAGTCATTCTTTGGGGTACGCTAGCTCACTAGGCCTTCCGTCAGGCATTCATACCTTAGCACAGATTCATTTTGCCAACAGATGGAAGAGATGAGTTCCCCAGAGAGAACTGAATCTTGGGTAAAGGAGGGATCATTGTAGACCTTAGGGTCTCAGTGTGAAATGGTTTTCCCAAGCTGGGAAGAAAGGCAATCTGGCAGCAAGAGGAAGGCAAAAAAAGAAGATGGACATTCACTAAAGGAGATTTTCAGTTGTTCCTGGTCCTGCCCAAAGCTCAAGAAGGAAGGTGGGGCTTCCCTGGTGGCGCAGTGGTTAAAAGTCCGCCTGCCGATGCAGGGGACACAGGTTACACAGGTTCTTGCCCCAGTCCGGGAAGATTCCACATGCCGCGGAGCGGCTGGGCCCGTGAGCCATGGCCGCTGAGCCTGCGCGTCCGGAGCCTGTGCTCCACAACGGGAGAGGCCACAACAGTGAGAGGCCCGCGTACCGCAAAAAAAAAAAAAAAAAAAAGAAGGAAGGTGGCATGCTAGACTAAGTTTGGCCCTCAAGTTTTAAGAATCTTGGTCAGGGGGCTCACTTGGCAGGTTCCACCTCCCCCTCACTGTACCCAGCCCCACCTTCCTCATCCCTGCTCTTCTCTGCACACCCTGTGTTCACCCAACAGGCCAGTCCTGATCACTGCGCAGGGGTCCACTGCTCTGGCCTCCCAGCCACCCAGCTGCTTTTGCTGCCTCCCCAGGCCTGGATTACCGGTGACTTCTGGCTGTTCTGTCCCCAACCCTTGGCCTCAGAATTTGGCTTAAGAAATTCCCCAAGTCCAGCAGCCCTCACCCCTGACAAGTCAATCTTGGTTAACTAGAGAAGTATTGTGCTGAGTGAGGACACCTGGGTTATAGTCCTAACTCTTGTTCCGAGTCCCAGGCCAGTTACTTGACCTCTCTGAGCCTCAGATTTTGAAAACAAAAGATGACTCCTGACTTTTAAGGCTTGTTTTGAGGATTAAATGAACTAATTTGCCAGTACCCCAAACAAAATGTGTTTTATTGGTATGTTAAGGCTGTGTGGGTGGAGGGCAGGACTTATCAGAGCATTTAATATGTTCATGTATGGTAAGCAATATACAACATGACTCTAAAAAAATATAGAAGGAGGAGTTTCTCAAATCAATTTGATCACAAAGCCCCTAGCTCCTGTTGCTGTGGCTTGTCTGATGGTCTAAGAGCACCTCTGGACATGCTGGGAGAGCTCTTTTGCTGGATCTCTCAGCTTGTGAAGGAGCTAGTATGGTGGCCTCTTAGGCAGTCCTGGAGGTCAGCTTCATTGGTGGTCTTTAGGGAAAGCAAAGCTTTGGGGACTGGGGACAGGAGGCTTTCAAGCCCTCCTTTGAGGGCCACTGGCTCCTCCCCTAGGGGGTGAGAGACTCCTCCTCTCAGGTCACCCACCCTTTCTCCAGTGACTGTCATTTCCACCTCGCCCCTCACCCCAACTTCCATCCACCTTCTATCCTCCCTAACTTTGGCTGTCACCACTGATCTGGTCCCTCCCCCACTGCAGCCTCTTCCTATCTACTCCTCATGTTATAATTGGGAGCAGAAACATACCAGGCCAGGCATCTTCTATAAACCTAAAAGAAATTTGAAAAAACATGTGTCCCCTCCACACTCCAAGTTATCTAATGGTATTCATCGTAACGTAAATTGTTGCAAAGTTTAAATTTCTAGTGTACTCTAAATAGTCCCACTTTAATACAATTATTCTTTTTTAATTCCAAAAGAGAGTTTTAAAAGATGTTTTTAGAGTAGTTACATCACTAAATCAAATGCTTTTTACCGTTTCTGAATCTTTCTTCAAGACTGGCACTTCAGGCAAGATTTTGAGGGATGTGTTCAAAGCTCTCAGCTTTGAACACAAAGCTCACAAGAACTTGCCCTCAGTCTTCCTGCAGGAGTCTCTCAATTTTTCCAAGCCAGGCAGTGAGAATGATTGAAAGTCACCATGGGGTACTGGGCTGAGGCTGGCTGTAGCTCTGTGCAGAATTTCAGTCGAAGGTATTTCGGGCTATTTGCTTTGGGACCTGCCAATGAACTTGCTGTGTGGGCAGCTGAGCAGCAATGGCAGGTGAGCAGGGTGGATTTGATTAAGTACATTATTCTTTTCATGCATCCAGTGGCATCTAAATACCAGAGAGATTTAACATATACTGTCATCCATTTAAAAGTATATAAAAGCAGGCTCTTTACAGTTTTACATAACTCCTTTTCTCCTTGAATACCTATTCTACTTCTCCCACAGAATTTTACCAATACAAATATTTTTCTTCTCAGAAGTCTTTCACTGATCACGATATTATCTGTTTCTGCAGCAAAAATATTTGTGAAACAGAAATATGACTTTTTTCTAGATTTAGTTATTAGTAGTACTCAACTGATCAAAAGAAATAAATTACACACTTTTTTTTTTCTTTTGGCCATGCCATAGGCTTGCAGGATCTTATTTCCCTCACCAGGGATCGAACCCAGGCCCTGGCAGTGAAAGTGCTGAGTCCCAAACACTAGATTGCCAGGGAACTCCCTACACACTTTAACAGTTAATTACTAAATAACAAAATTTTCATTACAAAATTTAGATGAGATTGTTGCTTCCCCCCCACCAAAAAAGCTCATGTATCCATGGGTAAACATTACTTATTGCTAGAATAAGACCGGATTCAACATCAGTTTCTTTTTTTGGGGGAGGAGGGTTGTCTGTTATTCAATTTTATTTTTAAAAATGTTTATTGGGGTATAACTGATTTACAATGTTGTGTTATCAACATCAATTTCTATTTCTTTTCTTTTTTTTTTTTTTTTGCGGTACACGGGCCTCTCACTGTTGTGGCCTCTCCCGTTGCGGAGCACAGGCTCTGGACGCACAGGCCCAGCGGCCACGGCTCACGGGCCCAGCCGCTCCGCGGCATGTGGGATCTTCCCGGACCGGGGCAAGAACCCGTGTCCCCTGCATTAGCAGGCGGACTCTCAACCACTGCACCACCAGGGAATTAATATTTATGAATGGAAGCACTGAGAAATCTTGTTCACATAAATAAGCAAATGGAAATGAAAGGTTGTTATATCAGGGGCACTCAATTCTTTGAATTTCTTCTGAATTAAACCAAAAATGACATAGTGGTCTGAATTAAAATCAAAAGTTACCGTTTAATGATCTTATATTACCTTCCTGGCCCTCACAACAGCTTCCATAAAAATAACATAATAACAACTACAGTTATTATAAGTATTATATTATGTAATAATATAATAATAGTCATTGTAATAAGGACCATGTGCCTGACGATCCGGTACCTTCACCAACAAGACTGGGTGCCTGTCACCCATCCTGCCCTTCCTCCACCTGCTTCTCTGCCAGGGCCTCTCTTGGAAATTCTCTGGAGAATGGTGGGGGCCACTCTATGGCAGACCTCCAGCATCAGCTGGCAGTCTGTGTTCTCTTGGGACAAGAGTCTGACCTCTGTCCCCGTCCCTGCTGCCCTGGCCACTTCACATGTGGGCTTATTCCCACTCCTGGCAAGGAAGCACACGACAAGAGCAGAGGTCCCCAGAGCCCTGGCTCAGGCCTGGACACATAGTAGATTCTCAATAAATGTTGGCCCAACTTGGCCTCCTCCCACCCTTCCCACCTCACAGGCTGACCCTCAAAGGTCCTTGTAGTAGTGGTGATGATGATGATGATAATGATGACAGCAGAGTGATAAGAACAGCTAATATTTATTGAGGGCTTGCTATGTGCCAGGTATAGTTGGCCATGTGTATCTGTGGGTTCCGTTTCCGTGGATTAAACCAACCGTAGATCGAAAATATTTGGGAAGAAAATCCCAGAAAGTTCCAAAAAGCAAAACTTGAATTTGCTGTGTACCAACAAATATTTACATAGTATTTACATTGTATTAGGTGTTATAAGTGATCTAGAGATAATTTAAAGTATACAGGAGCATATGCATAGGTTATATGCAAATACTATGCCATTTTATTTTTTTTTAATTTGCGGTACGCGGGCCTCTCACTGTTGTGGCCTCTCTCGTTGCGAAGCACAGGCTCCGGACGCACAGGCTTAGCGGCCATGGCTCATGGGCCCAGCCGCTCCGTGGCATGTGGGATCTTCCTGGACTGGGGCACGAACCCGGTTGAGGTTGAGGCGGACTCTCAACCACTGTGCCACCAGGGAAGCCCCTTTTTTAAAATTTTTATTTATTTATTTTTATTTTTTCTATTTCTTGGCTGGGCCACGTGGCATTCGGGATCTTAGTTCTCCGACCAGAGATTGAACCTGTGCCCCCTGCAGTGGAAGCACGGTGTCTTAAACAGTGGACCACCAGGGAAGTCCCTATGCCATTTTATATAAGGGACTTGAGCATCCACGGATTTTGGTGTCCATGGAGGTTCTGGAACTAACCTCGCACGGATACCAAGGGATAACTATACTTTACATACAATATCTCATTGACGTTTTATATCATCCCCTGAATTAAGTACTGATAACTTACAAATGAAGAAACTGAGGCATGGAAAGTTTATCCAAGCTCATACAACCAAGAAGTAGTGGTACCAGGCAGAACTGCCTATATAATTTGTGGGACCCAGCACAAAAAGAAAATCAGCGTCCCTTGTTCAAAAATTTAATCATTTCAAGACAGCAATGGCAGAACATTGAAGCAAGCATGGGGCCCCTGCGTGACTACACAGGTCTGTGCCCATAGAGCAGGCCCTGGTTCCGGAATCTGAACCCAGAATTCTGAATCCAGAGCCCACCAGACTCTGTGCTTGGAGAAAGTAATAGGAATCACTATGATTTACTGAGCTCCTGCTATGTGCATTGTGCGAAATCTAAAAAAACCTTCACAACAACCCTGAGGTAACAGGAGGCATTGTTACCCTCATGTTTAAGCGGGAGGAAACCAAGCTTTAGGGAAATTGAATTACCACCCAGGGTTATCAAGCGGAGTCAGGATTTGAACACAGGACCAAACCTGAAGCCTGAGTCTTCATGTCACACAGCGTCTTTCTAGAAGGATCACAAAGGCAGGAACTAAAATGGGGCTGGGCATGACTCAAATGATCTCTTAGGAACTTTGACCGAGGGGCCTGTCACTGGGGGTCCAGCCGCTGCTTCACTCAGGACCGGAAGGCATCCCAGGTCTGCAGATATTTCCAGCGAGGCTTCTGCTTCCACGGAGATGGATGTGGGTAAGTGCCTCTTCTCCTCAAGTGGGGAGCGGGCTGGGAGACTCGGGAGGGAGGAATCATTCTTCATGGACCATGCATCTTCCCAGAGCCCCTCTGCCCTCAGCTCCAAGTACTAGGCTGAGTTAGCTCTGAGCCGTGAAGGAGCTATCCCTTTCTCCTTACCCTTCTCTTCCTCACGACAGCTACCGGCACCTGCAGCCTCCCTGCCACCTGCAGCCTCCCCACCACCTTGAGTGGGGCCGCCGCCATTCGGAGCCACACATCACCCTGTCAGGCCCCCCGCAGGGACTGACCCGCAGGGGCTCCGAGCCCTCCTACCTGCCCTCTGTGACTGCCGGATGGGGTTGGGCCGGGGCCTACCAGGGCATGGAGCCTGGCCTGGAGGAGTTGTTCAGCAAGGCTGAGGACATTGGTGGCAGCTCCTGGAAGTCCCTGTCCCTAGCATGTGAGTCATCAGGGGTACTGCAGGTGGGCACAAGTGAGATCTGAGACCAGGGTCCCTGCTCTGTCTCTGAGCAAGGTTTATATTTCCTTCCGCCCCCTCCCTCCTCAATATTCCCAGCCAGAGGGAAATTTTCCTCCGGCTCTGTTGCTCTCTGTGTTCTAGAAGCAGAATACCATGGTGCCTGTGGAGTCAAACCACCTAGTTTCAAATGCTGGCTCCACCACTTAGGAACTGTGTGACCTTGAACAAGTCACTTAACCTCTCTGAGTCTCAACTGCCTCATCTGCTAAAGGGCACTGATAATAGCACCTACTCACAGGGTCTTGATGAGTTCGTATATGTGATGTGCATAGCACAGTACCTGGCACAGAGTAAACACTAAATACTAGTAGTTATTTTTAAAATTATTGTTCTAATTCAGTGCTGTCCAACAGAAATATGTTACATATGGAATTTTTTTCCTTAACATCTTTATTGGAGTATAATCGCTTTACAATGGTGTGTTAGTTTCTGCTGTATAACAAAGTGAATCAACTATACATAGACATATATCCCCATACCTCCTCCCTCTTGCGTCTCCCTCCCACCCTCCCTATCCCACCCCTCTAGGTGGACACAAAGCACCAAGCTGATCTCCCTGTGCTATGTGGCTGCTTCCCACTAGCTATCTGTTTTACATTTGGTAGTGTATATATGTCCATGCCACTCTCTCACTTTGTCCCAGCTTACCCTTCCCCCTCCCCGTGTCCTCAAGTCCATTCTCTATGTCTGCGTCTTCATTCCTGTCCTGCCCCTAGGTTCTTCAGAACCAATTTTTTTTTTTTAGATTCCATATAACATATGGAATTTTTTGTATCAGCTTTATTGAGATATAATTCACAAACCAAAAAATTCACCAACTTAAAGTGTACGATTCAATGTAATACAGTATATTCAGAGTAGTACAAACATTAGCACTGTTTTTTTAAATTAATTTTTATTGGAGTAGAGTTGATTTGGAATGTTGTGTTAGTTTCTGTTGTACAGCAAAGTGAATCAGTTATACATATATCCATGCTCTTTTAGATTCTTTTCCCATATAGGTAGTTACAGAGTACTGAGTAGAGTTCCCTGTGCTGTACAGTAGGTTCTTATTAGTAGCACTATTTAATTCTAGAAGATTTTCATTACCCCAAAAAGAAGCCCATTAGCAATCACTCTTCATCCACAACCCCTCCCAGCCATTGGTAAACACGAATCTATTTTCTGGCTCTGTGGATTTGCCTCTTCTGGACATTTCATATAAATGGAATCATACAATATATGGCCTTTTTGTGTCTGGCTTCTTTTATTTAGTATAATATTTTCTAGATTTATTCATATTGCAGCATATAGAAGTACTTCATTTCCTTTTATGGCCAAATAATATCCCAGGATATGGATATATACCACATTTTGTTTTATTCATTCACCAGTGGATGGATACTTGGGTTGTTTTTGCTTTCTGGCTATTATGAATAATGTTGCTATGAGCACTTATGTACAAATTTTTGTGCGGATGTATATTTCCATTTCTCTTGGGTATATACCTAGGAGTGGAGTTACTGGATCATATGTTAACCCTATGTTTAATATTTTGAGGAACCACCAAACTGTTTTCCAAAGTGGTTGCATCATTTTACAATTCACGCATGTAAATAAAATTTTTCTAGCAGCCTCATTTTAAAAAAAGGAAAAAGAAACAAGTGAAATTAATTTTAATATTTAACCCAGTATATCAAAAATTACATATCCAATATCGTTTCAATATGTAATTAATATAAAAAGTTAATAATGAAACATTTTAGAGACTTTTTGGTATTCAGCTTCAAAATCTCATGTGTATTTTACACTATGACACATCTGAATTCAGACTAGCTCCATTCCAGGTGCTTGATAGCCACATGTGGCAGGTGGCTATCATATTGAATAGCACAGGTCTAAACAGTTGTGTTAGAGACATAATTCTGAGTAGACTCTGAACTACTGGTGGACAGAACTTTACACACCCTCAGGGCCTTGCATGCAGCAGACGCTTAGGAGATACCACATGAATGAGTAAATGAATGAATGGATCCAGTTTTCCCCAACAGCTGCTGATGGTGATCACAGCTACTTCCCGAAGTCTCAGCCTATGTCAGACCCTGTCCAGGAGCTCCTGGCCCCACTTCAAAGCCTGGACCTTGAGGTGCAGCAGGTAGTGGAGGGGGAGGGGAAGAGGATGCCATGCTGGACCTCTGGGATGCCCATACCTGCTGGAGGAGGGTTCTGTGTTCCCTGGGGCCGTATTTGGGGTGACAGTGTGTGTGTGGGGGGGGGGGGGGGGGGGGGGGGGGGGGGGGGGGCTGAAGGGAGGATGTGCTCTGACCCTGCCTGTGGCTGCAGAGGGTGCAGGACAGTCGGGACATCGTGTGTGGCATCTGCATGGACAAGGTGTGGGACAAGCCAGAGGCCAAGCGGATTTTTGGCATCCTGCCCAACTGCAGCCACCCCCACTGCCTGGACTGCCTGCGTACCTGGCGGAAGAGCCGAGGGGACTTCCCGCTGGGTGTCATCAAGTCAGTGTCATGGAGGGGCCAGCAGGGAGGGAGGGAAAGGTCCCACAGAGGGGTAGGCTCAGAGACAGGCCGATGGACTTGTGACTACTCCTCTCCCACCTCCCACCCCATCCCACCTCGCAGGGCCTGTCCCCAGTGCCGTGTCCCTTCCAGCTACATCATTCCCTGCAAATTCTGGGTGAGCAAGGGGCCTAAGAAGGAACAACTCATCAGGAACTTCAAGGCTCGGACCAGGTGATTCTGGCAGGGGGAGCATGACTCAGGTTAGGAAAGAGGGGAAGCAGTCCCTGATCTATACCCTCTCAGCCGTGGTTCCCAGCATGGCATCCCCCAAATCCTGGAAGTGCAGAGTGACCAAGACAGCAAGTGAGGGTGTGAGCTATTTCCACTATTTCAGAAAGCCCAGTGAATAATAGTGAGTGACTGAGACAGTCAAGGCCAAGTTTCTCTTCTAGCCTGGCTCAGGATCCACACAGGGAAACTCTGGTTCTCTCAGCATGATGGGAAGCCCTGCTTGGCTTTTATTTCTGATTTTTTTTTTAAAGCAAGAAAGTATAGGAATTCCTCAGCAGTCCAGTGGTTAGGACCTGGCACGCTCACTGACGGGGCCACAGGTTCTATCCCTGGTCGGGGAACTAAGATCCCACAAGCCACCATGGAAGTAGAGACTCTTACTGTTACCATGCTGTAGAAGGAGAAAGTGAGGCAAGGTCTATGGGGCTTAAGTAAGGAAGTGGGTTTGAACCCAGACATTCTGACTCCTAGCATGGACTAGAAGGAACCTTGGCGGGGATATTGACTTGAGAGGAAGAAGGGCCATACCTGGGTAGCCAATTGACCATGAGGTTGAAAGGAAATTGTAAGATGATTAATGTTTCCAGATGGACGGCCACAGGACTGGTACTATCACGTGAGAGCTGAGTGAGGGAGACTGATGGAGAATCTGGTCAGGTTGAGTGGGGTGGTTTTGGATGCTATCTGGATGGAGGGGTTTCTAATGCTAGGTTTGGTCAAATGGTAGGAAGAGGAAGAGGGACAGTCATTTTAGAGGGATTCCCAGGCTTCCAGCTTGGTAGTCAGCGGGATCCTCCATTCACGCTGGGACTGCAGGAAGTGGGAAAGACTCAACTGCGTTGGAGTCAAGCAGAGAGGTGATGATGCAGGAAAAAGGAAAAAGGCTATAAATATGCGCTTTATCTTTTTCTCCCTCTCGTCCATCTTTCTGTGCAAGAAAAAGCTGTTCCTACTTAAGCAGATCACGAGTTGCCCACAAGCCCTTCCTGTATCTGACCTTTCACAGAATGAAATTTGAAATCTCAGAAGTGGGAAGCTTCTTAATCAATTTCATTAGCTAGCAGTTACCAAATCATAAGACCACCCCTCAGAAGAGGGCATTGTTCTAACCTGGTTACAGAGACACATTGTAGGGTTAACTGCTCTCCCTCCTCCTTTGGTGGTATTACTGAAACTTAGTTCAAAGAAGGAAAGGAGATTCCCAGGGTCACTGCTGTCCCAAATAGACTTTGTGGGAATTACGAGAAAGGTACCACTTAAGACACTTTACTGCCATCTGCTGGGAAATAATTGTAATACATATAACATCTACACTTGTCTATGTGACCCTAGAGGTGCCAGGATAGATGTGGCGGTGCCTTTGTGCTGTGTATAACCTACCCAACATTACATGTCGGCCTTGAGTGCCCCTTGTTCCTGGGGCAACTGGGCTTGAAGGTGATGGTCTTCTATCCTTCTGCCCTCTCATAGCCAGATTCGATGCCGGTTCTTCATGCGGGGGAATGGCCGCTGCCCCTTCAAGTCGGACTGCATTTACCTGCACCAGCTCCCAGATAAGGCCCCGACTTCTGATCCTCCCTGGCCCGGGAGTATGCAGCTGGCCTCTGTGAGTGAGGTGGTAACAGCAGGGATAAGGGGTCGGGGAGGCTGCTGGCCATGGTTTATAATAAATGTCTGTGATAAATGTAAAACCTATGTATGATGTCTGTGACATTAATGGTGCCTGCTTAGATGTGGTACCTTTGTGCTACGTACAACCTGCCTAACCTTATGTGTCAGCCTTGATTCCCCTGTACCACATACAACTGGGGTCGAAGCTGAGGGGTTTTCACTGATTTCTTTTTCTACTCTCAGGTGGTGGGCAAAACAGCGTTCCTAGGGGGCACCGAGCCAGAGGAGGAAGTGTTCTTCATGGACTGTGCCCTGACCATGGCCTTCTGGGGTTCAGAACTCCTCCTGGACCCCAACAGTTCTTACCACTGCCTCCTGTAACCAGGATCAACGTGTGGGGGGATGGGGCTGAGGGGCAGGGGTTGCCAGGTGGTAGGTCTTTTCCCTTTGGAGCTTGGTGGGGGATGAAAGTAGCAAGTGCCCCACACCCATGAACTGCAGCAGTGACACAGCTGGGGAACATGGGGAGGGGGGATGGCTCTCGGGAAAGAGGAAGGGTTCTCACCCTCTTGCCAGGGACTTGGTTTTTAACTTTACTCTTTTGTAGAAGGATTCTGAAAGAAAACCAATAAAGTGCACCTAAGCCATCACTGCTCGTGTCTGAAGAGCGTCTGCTTATAGCCCAGGTGCACCCTCACCCCTACCCCCACCAAGGGTTTCTTCTGCATTTAATCTGTTGCAATATCACCTGTCACTTAGCCTTTGGAAAACTTCACTTTATGCTCATAAGAGAATGAGAACAGAAAGGGCAAATAATGTAGGTATTATAAAAATAGTAATGTCAGAGATCCCGTGAAAGGGTCTCAAGGATTCCCCCTTGGAATCCTTGTGGATTCCAAGTGTGGTTCAAGAACCACACTTGGAAGTTTTCTCCCTATTCTCCTTCCCATTGGCTAGAATGCAGACCCGGGTGGGCATGAACCAGAGCCACCACGATAAGGCTGCAGTTGAGGATGGGCAGGGCATTGAAGGCTGTTTAGCATTCTTGGCCCCGCCCACTACTTATCAGGGCCTCCACCCCTTTGCCCCCAACATCATTTGGTCATTTGAAGACCAAAACCATCTCCTATGAAGTTAGAACTGATAAACTGAGATAGAGGTTCCTGGAAGAAACTTATTTCCTACTCTTTTGCCCTTTGCAAAGCAGGCACTAAGACAGAGGTCCCCACCCCCCGGGCCACGGACCGATACCAGTCCGTGGCCTGTTAGGGACCAGGCCGCAGAGCAGGAGGTGGGCGGTGAGCGAAGATTCATCTGTGTTTACAGCCGCTCCCCATGGCTCACATTACCGCCTGAGCTCCGCCTCCTGTCAGATCAGCGGTGGCATTAGATTCTCAGAGGGGCTCGAACTCTACTGTGAACTGCGCATGCGAGGGATCTAGGTTGCGCGCTCCTTATGAGAATCTAATGCCTGGTGATCTGAGGTGGAGCTGAGGCGGTGATGCTAGCGCTGGGGAGCAGCTGAAAATACAGATTATCAATAGCAGAGGGGTTTGACTGCACAGAGACCATAATAAATCAACTGCTTGCAGACTCATATCAAAACTCTACCAGTGAGTGGCAAGTGACGATGAAGCTGCACCTAATGGAGTAGACTGGACATAGCAACACCCTTCGGGTGTCACTGTTTCCCGTCACCCCCAGATGGGACCATCTAGTTGCAGGAAAACAAGCTCAGGGCTCCCACTGATTCTGCATTATGGTGAGTTGTATCATTGTTTCATTATATATTACAGTGTAATAATAATAGAAATAAAGTGCACAATAAATGTAATGCGCTTGAGTCATCCCCAAACCATCCACCCCACCCCCACCCCCATCCGTGGAAAAATTGTCTTCTGCGAAACCGGTCCCTGGTGACAAAAATTTTGGGGACCACTGATTTAAGAAATACTCCATAGTCTTTTCCAACAGCTCTCTTAAAATCTTTTTTTTTTTTTTTTTTTTTGCAGTATGCGGGCCTCTCACTGTCGTGGCCTCTCCCGTTGCGGAGCACAGGCTCCAGACGCGCAGGTTCAGTGGCCATGGCTCACGGGCCTAGCCACTCTGCGGCATATGGGATCTTCCTGGACTGGGGCACGAACTCGTGTCCCCTGCATCGGCAGGCGGACTCTCAACCACTGCACCACCAGGGAAGCCCTTAAAATCATTTTTTAAAAATTTTATTTTATTTTTTGGCTGCATCAGGTCTTAGTTGCAGCATGCATCTTTTGTTGCGATACACAGGCTCTTCCTTTCAGTGTGTGGGCTTCTCTCTAGTTGTGGTGCATGGGCTCCAGAGCTCATGAGCTCTGTAGCTGCAGTACACAGGCTCTCTAGTTGTGGTGTGCGGGCTCAGTAGTTGTGGCACGCGGGCTTAGTTGTCCTGTGGCATGTGGGATCTTAGTTCCCCAGCCAGGGATCGAACCGGCATCCCCTGCATTGCAAGATGGATTCTTAACCACTGGACTACCAGGGAAGTCCCTCCCTTGAAATCATTTTGGAAAAAATAAAAAATTTGGCTCTAATGGAAATCAGATCCAGTTCAAAATATGCCTATGGGGCTTCCCTGGTGGCGCAGTGGTTGGGAGTCTGCCTGCCGATGCGGGGGACACGGGTTCGTGCCCCAGTCCGGGAGGATCCCACAAGCCGCGGAGCAGCTGGGCCCGTGGGCCATGGCCGCTGAGCCTGAGCATGTGGAGCCTGTGCTCCGCAACGGGAGAGGCTGCGGCAGTGAGAGGCCCGCGTACCACAAAAAAATAAATAAATAAAATAAAATATGCCTATGGCTTCCCATACTATTCAGGGTGAAAGAAAAATTCCTCTCTATGATGTCAAGGCCTCACAAGATCTGGTCTGGTTACCTCTCCTGTTACTCCCCAGCAAGTGCACTCTTGCCTGACCACCTATTTAAAACTACCTCACTCTATCTCCCTTCCCTGCTATATCCTTGAAAGCACTTATCACAAACAAACATTCTATTGTTTACTTACTTAGTTGTCTGTCTCTCCTCAATTGAGGGTCAGCAACAATGAGGGCAAAGGTATTTATTTTGTTCCCTGCATCCTGAGCGCTAGGTGCTCAGTAAAGATTTATTGATTGAGTGGATGTGTGCATGGCAGCAGAAGCTGGGAGGATGGAAATACAAGCTGACACCCAAAGTAGGGTTTATGGGGTGCTGTGGCGCTCTTCTCCCCTCTGCCTTTATTCCTATCCTCTGCTATGGTCCCTCCCTTCGCTGGAAGCCTGCCTCCTCCAGCAGATTTCCTTAAACCAAAACCCTGGGAATTGGAGGCACTCTTGGTCCCTTATAAACAACCAGAGCAAGGCCACTTCTTGATCTTAGGGAGGAAGTTTACAGGAATGCCTTTGGCCATATCGATGGCATTAGGTTTTACTGCGACTCCATTCTCGGGTGTATTAGTAGATGGAACATTTCTGGAGAGGACTGAAACCCCAATGATGCCAGTTGATGGCCTGTGGAAGAGGTGACGTTATCGTAAATTATGATCAAATCCTATGGCAAAGCCCATGATCTATAGGCAACATGGGCATCAGCTGAAATTAAATGATGCTTGGATCCTGAAGTACAACCAGCAGGATCCCTGATATCCATTCTGTACGCCCGCCCCCTCACTTACTTCAGCGATCGGTGGAGGAAGCAAGGTTAGGGTCAGCCGCAGAGGACCCATCCTCCATCAAGCCCCGCCCCACTCTATCTCTTGCATGACCCCGCCCACTAACCGATTTCCTAGTGGCACCGCCCCCACTCTGGTCCCGCCTCATCAGCAGATCTGCACTCGGCCTTCGCCCCGCCTCCCTACTCCTATCCTACTTGCCCCTTCCGGCCTGCTCTTGCGCCCAGCCCCGGCCGCACTTCCCCGTTCCTTTCCTTTCTGACAGATCAAGTCTCGCGCGCTGGCGGGGTGCGAGTCCGAGAGCCTCCCCGAACGCTGAGGAGGGAATGTGGCGCGCGCAGGAAGGGGCCGGCCGCAGCATCAGGGACGGCGCTGTCGTCCGCCTCCCTTTCCCCAGGCCCCGGAGCTGAGGCCCGAAACCAGAGCTCGGGGCAGCGCGGCTCCCTGGCCCCGGGCATGGAGGCCCCGGAGGCGGCACCCGCTCAGGCTGAGGGCGCGGAGCCGGCGCCCTGGGCGCACCTAGAGGCCCCCGCCCGCCTCCTGCTGCAGACGCTGCAGGCGGGGCCCGACGGGGCGCGGCGCGGCTTGGGGGTGCTGCGGGCTCTGAGCGGCCGCGGCGGGGAGCCCTTCGGCTGGGACCGCGTCTTCGAGGCGCTGTGCCGGGAGGAGCCAGTAGTGGAGGGCCCGGACTGTCGCCTGGAGCTGTAAGTTGTCCGCCCGCGTTCCTCCTGTCCTGCTGGTCGCGGCGGCCGCTGGCGTAGCTCGGGGCGCCGCCCGTCATCCTCCACGGTGGTGTGAGGCAGGGGCTGGCGCTACCTACTTCTCTAGGTGAGAAGACCGAGGCACAGAGAGGTGAAATACTTGCCCCGAGAGCGGGTCCCTGCCGCGCGCCCTGTGAGGCGGGGCCTCCGGCAGACCCTCATAGCGTAGGTACTGGGTGCAGTGCTGCCTACCTAGACGAAAGACACCTGCCCTCGGTTGGGTGTAAATGAATAATTGTGTCAGTGGATTCTAACTAATTTTAATCACACACTTCCATCTCTTACCTCCAGTATAGGTCAAGAGTACACGTGTGTTAAAATACGTACATTGTCAAGTATACATAAATAGAAATTTTTTAAAATTTTATTTTTATTTATTTATGGCTGTGTTGGGTCTTCGTTGCTGCACGCGGACTCTCTCTAGTTTCGGAGAGCAGGGGCTACTCTTCATTGCAGTGCGCGGGCTTCTCATTGCGGTGGCTTCTCGTTGCGGAGCACGGGCTCTAGGCGCGCAGGCTTCAGTAGTTGTGGCATGCAGGCTCAGGAGTTGTGGCGCACGGGCTTAGTTGCTCTGCGGCATGTGGGATCTTCCTGGACCAGGGATGGAATCCGTGTCCCCTGCATTGGCAGGCGGACTCCTAACCACTGCGACACCAGGGAAGTCCCCATAAATAGAAATTTTAAACGTGGTAAATGACAATAAACATCTGATCATGCTGGCTTTATATTATCAGTTTTTCAAAGCATAATATACAGTTTAGGGGAAGATCTCTTACCTTGAGGATGGTGTTCTTGATAATTTTTAGTCTTTTGGGTGACTTTGAACTTTTTCCCCCTCTTTATGTGGCTAAGAATCCCTACTAGGAGCAGAAGTGTCAGCTCTGCCATTTTTGAGTTAGGTTGTGCTTCCCTTACTGGTAGTCAGTTTCTTTTCTGACATCCTTGTAAGCCATGTGTCCATTTTGTGAGGGTTCGTTTTGTTAAGAAAGATAATACAGCGTCCATAGATGCACTTAACTATCTAGTTAAGTAAAATACAGAAAGTAACGTAGTGAGGTGCCACCTTCAGCCTCTAGGGGGCTGAAGAGCAGACCTCCCACTCTCCTTGAATACTCCTCCCTAAGAATTGGGTTGGACACTGGAATATGGAGGGCCAATCCATATTTTAAATATTTGTAATACTTAATTTTTCATGTTTTAGATAAATAGATATAGAAGTTCTATTATTTTCTTCCCACACTCCATCTTGAATTTCTTTCAATAGAATTTTCTGAATCTGCAAATTGGACGCTCTAGATATGTTTACCCAATGGTCTGGCTCTTTCTGGACAGAGTAAGGGGAATGGAACGTAACCTGCGGTCCCTGGATAGAACTGTACTGCAGTATAATTGTTTTCTTTTGTAATGCTATGTATTTTATGCATTTAACCCTCTTATTCTGATAAGGGAATCCATGCACAAAAAAGGTAAAAGTCCTTGGAGTAGGCTCTTCCCGACTTCTCTACTTCAGTATCCTCCACCACAAATTGACGATCTTTTTAACTTTTACTCTAGTTTTTTCTCTCATTTAGTGTTTTTTCTCCACAAAAAAATAAAAGGTTTCGTTCCTCTCTTATATATCCCAAGTGCCTCTGTGTGTGATGACAAACAGCCCCACAAAGTCATGTATACAGAGGTGCAGAGGTGTGATGGGTGGTGGGCTAGATGCACTCATGACCTGCTTGCCACTCCAGCAAGCCTCAGGTCACATAGCATCTGCATTCGTGCCTTTGTCACGTTACAGATGGCTACTTTGTTCTGTCCACAGCAGTCTTGCTGATCTGTGAAACGTATTCTCAGAGATTTAATTCAGTCAATAAATG